TCAGTGGTGAGGATTTTTGTTTTCTTTACATTGAGATGCAATCCATACCAAAGGTTGTGCTCTTTGATCTTCATCAGTACATATTTTAAGTGTTTTTCACTTTCAGCAAGCAGGGTTGTCTCATCTGCATATCACAGGTTGTTAATGAGTCTTCCTCCAATCCTGATGCCACATTTTTCTTCATATAACCCATGTGTGCAACCCTGGAAATCCTAGAGAAGAGTTGATTTTATTGTTGTTAAGTGTAATCCTATAGGTCCCAACTCATAGCAACCCTGTACAGGGTTTCTGAGGAGTGGGTGGTGAGTTTGAACTGCTTATCCTTTAGCACCACACCAGGACCCCAAATAAAAGTTAAGTAGGAGTTCTGGTATGGCACTGTAGGGTGAATACTGAACTGCTAACCATAAAGATGAGTAGTTCAAACCCACCAGCCCCTCCTTGGAAACCCTATAAAGGGTCACTATGAGTTGGGTGGTTTAACAATAAGAACAGGTGAAAGCTGTTAGGGAATGCATTGCAATGGAAAACTATTGAAGAATTTTAAGCAGGAGAATGATGTGATATTATTTACATTATAAAAAGATCTCTCTGACAAAGATAGAACAACTTCTCCCAACTATTTTCCTATTTGAAAATTACAGTGATTATAGAGCTCATCTGAGACAGACATATATACTGGAATGGACAATATTAATATAAAATGTGTCCTTAGTCTCATTGATTTAATGTCATTTTCTTATATTAAATATACAAATTAGAAATACTCAGAGCAGTCTACAGATTTTTTTCTGTCTTGTAAATACTATAGTATCTCTGAACATTACACAATATTATAGTCTACACATATACAAAGAAGTGGTGTAGTTGGTTACACATTGGACTACTGACTTCAAGGTCAGCAGTTCAAACCCATCAGCTGCTCCACAGGACAAAGATGAAGCTATCTGCTCCCACAAAAATCCTGGTGTGGCGCTATGGGTTGATGCGGTAGACTGCAAAGTCATTTGAATTGCAAGGTTGGTGGTTCAATTCACAGGCTTCTCCTCGGAAACCATATACAAGGTCACTATGGGTCAAAACTGACTCAATGAAAACAACACCAATCTGCTCCCACAAAGATTTTGGAGTCCTGGTATAGCACTGTAGAATAAGCACTGGACTGCTAACCTCAAGGTTGACAGTTCAAACCCACCAGCCAGCTGCTCCTTGAAACTCCTCTCCAGGGTCACTAGGAGCCGGAACCAACTCTGTCACTTAACAACAACTCATATACAGCTGTGGTGAATAAATATTGACCAGAACTATAGTAAGTATAGGAGTCTGGCATGGTGCTGCAGGATAATGCACTGGACCACAAGGTTGGTTTGAACTGCAAGGTTGGTGGTTCAAACCCACCAGTTGCTCCTAGGAAACCCTATACAGGGTCGCTATGAGTTGGGATCAACTCAACAGCATTTAACAACAACAATATTAAGTGTAAGGAACTCTGGTGTCATCATGGTTACGTGCTGAACTGCCAACCAAAAGATTGGTGGTTCAAACCCATTTGTCATGGATTGAATTGTATCACCCAGAAATATGTGTCATTATTCTCAGTGGTTTGGCAGTTATGTGATGACCCCTGCCCCATGATGAGATCTGATGTAATAAACTAACAAGAAGACTAAGACTGGGACACATCAGGACTCTGATCTGGTACAAGGGAGATTCTCGGGCATGTCATGCAACACCTTTTATCTTAAAGGAAATTAAAGGAGAAGTGGGCAGAGAAGAGGGACCTATTACCACCAAGAAAGAAGGGCCAAGAGTGGAATGCACCCTTTGGACCTGGAGTCCCGGTTCAGGAAAGCTTCCAGATCTAGGGGTAAGTTGATGCCAAGACACATGAAGTCTGCAAGGAATGCTGGTCCTATGCTGAATGGAGACAAGAGCCTTTCTCCAGAGCCAGCTCTCTGAATTCACATTTGTAGCCTCCCAAATGGTGAAGAAAACACCTGTGCTATTTCTATTACAGCACAAGGTAACTCTGATACCATCTGAGAATCCAGGGGAGAAATATGTGACAATCTGTTTCTATAAAGATGACTGTCTTCAGCCCCATGTAAAGTGCAATTATTGATCTCTCCCCACAGGGAGCAGAGTGAGGATTGTTATTTTCTTTACATTGAAGTACAGCCCATATTTACATAAAGAAATATGTAACTACCTATATTTACATATAGAAGCATGCAACTACCCATATTTACTTAAGCCTGTTGTGTTGTTGTTAAGTGCTGTCTAATCAGTTCCAACCCGTAGCGACCCTGTATAGGGTTTCCAGGAAGTGACTAGTGAGCTTGAACCCCTGACCTTGCGATTTAAACTGACTTTGCAGTTCAGTGCATGAACCCATTGTGCCACACCAGAGGTCCTTACTTA